ATAACACTCTCTGGTGTATAAATGACATCGACTTCCTTCCTCCTCATTTCTTCCATCTCTTCTTCTTCCTCCTCCCACTTTTCTTCTTCATATTTTTTCAGTTCATCGTACTTTTTTTCTACATAGCTCTTCATCTCTTTTATTTCACCCTTCAATTGAGCTCCTTCATCCGAGTATTTACCAACCACCCCCTTCACCCCCGTAAGTTCACTCCTCAAATCCACAACCTCCTTCACCACTCCCTCAAATTTTTCTCCCGTCACCATCTTAATATCACCCCTTAACACCCCAACTTCTTTCACCACTTCACCCCTCAACACCTCTACTTCTTTCACTACTCCATCTATTTTTCCTTCCACTACCCCCTTATGCCTCTCAACTGTATCTTTGACTCTCTCGAGTTTCTCTACGACTCGATCAAGTTTCTCTTCGACTCTTGATTGTCTTTGCATGATTTCAAATTGGATTTTTTTGATATCAGCCAATTCAGACATCAAAATGTCGAAGTTACTATGTTTTCCCTCACCGTCGTCCCACTCACCGTCATCCCTCAATACAACCATCCCTCCTTTCTTCTCCTCTGCCTCCACTGCCTCCTCTACATCCTTGCCAATAACCTTCAAAATTAAATTACAATATTAATACATTGATTATATTCTTAATATTATTTAATTACATTTATTACCATTTCTTGCTTCTTCCCTCTATCCAACTTCAACTTCACCATCACTCTAACCACCTCTTCCTTCCCCCATGCACGGATGCGTGCCACTCCGGTTCTTTCATAAGCCGGCACTGCCTCACAGCCCGACCAAAAATTGAACAGTGCAACCTGCATTTATAATAAAATTTATATTTTTATATAAAAACACAAAAAAGTGATTCAACTCATTTACCTCTAAGATTGCTATGCACCCTTTGAGGTATCTCTGGCTGCCCTTTTTAAAGGTGATTATTGATTCAATCAATCTCGAATGGATATATTCAGCCCAATTGAATTCACCCTTCAAGCCTTCATCGCAAATGAGCTTCATATATTCCTTGTTCGTTGATGTATCACCCCGTTGGACAAAGAAATATCCCGACAAGGTACAATAGAACTCGGGCCTTCAGCTCATCCCCCCAGTAAGATCCACTTTTGATATCCTCTTCAACTTCAGCATATGTCACCTTATGATTCAAACCATATTTGGAGGCAAGTGCTTTCCAGTTCTTACTCCTACAGACTTCTATAACACTTTTGCCTTTGTTTTGTACCCCAAGACGGCTGCAGCAGTCGATACCCCCCAGAGGGAATGAATAATCACCATACTTAGCCATACATTGACTGACGTCAAATTGTGCCATCAAGGATCGGCACAATTCCCTCCGAATAGGTCGATCCCTTACTCCGATCAACGATCCAAAACCTATTTCTCCCAGCACATTCAACTGACCCTTCTCCTTAAGGTGTTTAATTAATAAATTCACCCTTTTAATGTTGCATCTTGTCGACACTTCCTACATTTTTTAACAATATATAATGTTATAGTTCTTATATATTTTGTATCAACGTATTTACAAGTTTAATGAATACCTTATTTTCATGTGCTTTCCTCCGTTCTTTGTATTCTTTACTATCATTCCTTGACTGTGTGATGTAAGGTTCCTTTTCAGCATCACTCATTGAATTCCATTTGGACCTCACATCTTTTTCACCTAATATTAAACATAAACGTTTCTTAATCAATACATTAACACTAAATACTAATACTACTCAATGTCAATTTCATTTTACATACCGAACCGCTCTGTGTGCCATCTCCCTTCATCCTTTTGCATTCGACCATACTGTTAACATTTAAAATTTGTAATCAATTTAAAGTTTATCGATACTTTAATCCAATTACCATTTCAACAATAATAACAAAAGGACATTGATACTTACTAGAAGTACATATATCCACCCTTTGGTTGCTTTCGAGTCTCGGCCTCAATTTCAAAGTCATCTGCTCCACCAACAATTTTCCAACCCATTGACTCCATTTTTCCTTCATATATCAGTTTACGCAAATCAAATTATTTTGTTACATACACTTTATTCAATATACAAATATAGATAACTACTCTTGTGGTAAAACGGTTTTCTTCAAAAGAATTTGAATGGCCACACCAAAATGTGTCGGCACATTTATACAACCTATAATATCATTTTCTACCTATAATATTTAATAAAAGTATCGACATTTATATTTTTCCTTAAATATCTATTTCTACCTGCAATCGGTCCCAAATGCTTCCTTACTCCAAAACCCCAAACAACACATAAAAAACCCTATCGCGATTACTGTAATAATAAAAAATTAGGGTTTCGACAACATACTTTTCGATTCGACTGCAGCAACAAACAAACAAACTTCGCTTTAGAAACGCCTTCTGAAATGCAGCAACAATTACGCTTCGATTTCAAAAACTCGTCCGTTCTATCTTTTTTCAGAGGATATTTAGCTATGGCCTTTATATTTTCATCGGATATGTTATTTATATTTAATCGATACAAATACAAAAGTGTCGATACTTTTATGTCAGGTGTCGATAATTTCGAAAGGATGATTACCTATTTCTTTGAAAGTGTCGATAATTTATTACACGTACTTACGAAAGTATCGACACTTTCAATATATTCGGTATCATTTTACCGGTTTTATCATTTTGATACCGGTTTTATCATATTTGTACCTGTTATATCGTTGTAGATCGATATTTTTTTTAAAGTATCGACACATTATAGGCGCTATAACTGCTTCTCTTTTAAATTCACAAAGTGTCGATCCTTATATAAAGTATCGACACTTTTAAATTTACCGGTTTTATCATTTTGTTACCAGTTTTATCATATTTTTACCTGGTATATCGTTTTGGATCGATAGATTTTTTTAAAAGTATCGACACTTTATAGGATTTAAAACTGCTTTTAAAGTTATGTAATTTATGTTTCAATTTATTTAATAGTGTTTCATGTTTTCCACCTACAATATTAATTTAATAATTTAATTTACACAAAATATTATTTGATTGTTTTGATATTTTATAAAATATTATTTAGAATTTAAATTTAACAATATTAACCAAATATAATAATAAATATGTTTTCAACAGTGAAATAAGTATGGACACTTTTATAAAAATGATATATACTTTTTTGAAAGTTATGTAATTTATGTTTCAATTTTTTTAATAGTGTTTCATGTTTTTCACCTACAATATTAATTTAATAATTTCATTTACACAAAAAATTATTTGATTGTTTTGATATTTTATAAAATATTATTTAGATTTTAAATTTAACAATATTAACTAAAGATAATAATAAATATATATTTTCACAGTGAAATAAGTATGAACACTTTTATAAAAAGGATAGATAATTTACAATATAACAGGTAAAAATATGACAAAACCAGATTCATTATGACAAAACCGGTAAAATTTACTTGATATGTTAAAAGTATGGACACTTTTATAAAAAGGATAGATACTTACCGATAACCAAAGTTTACCGGTTACCAAATTTTTTAATAGTTTTTCATATTTTCTACCTAAAACATTATTAGTTGTCAACATAATAGGTACCGCTAAACCAAATTTATTAAATACATTTTAATGTATCCGATAATACTGTATATTAACCGTATATTAACCCACCTTTCCTGAGACATTCCCTCATTGGATACCTTCTTTGACGTTGAAAAGTTTACCGTTTTTAGCTTTTCCATGTTCACTTCCGCCTGTTATCCGCAATAGTACACATGAGACGACTTCACGCTACACCAAAATCCACGTGGAAAATAATTAAAATATAATCAAATACAAAAATATAATATGAATATTAAACTAGTATACGGATAAATACATCTTAAATCTTAAATAGAAAATATCACTGGAAAATACAAGAATTTTACATAATCAATAAAAAAAATTATAAGACAATTATTTGAAGGTATATTAAAAAAATTTGGTTGCCCCGGTTTCAAGGTTTCGTCCTAATTAATCTGGATCGATTCGGGTCGCACACCTGGTGCTGGTGGGTGTGTCTCCCAATGGAAATTTTCTACATACACAAAGACTCAAACACAAAATTTTACTTAAGTGATATCAAGTTGCTTACTACTTTAACCAACTCGTTAGTAAATGTATATTAAATTTTAAAACTATAGTTTTATATAATTGTACAACTACAATAATTCTAAATAAATAAAACTATACTATAGCGTGGGGTTGCACCAGTGGTGGGCTATGGTCTTGGGCCTATCAGCCCATTAGCATATGTATCTACTACATATATCTAACTTTTTCGTTACTAAAAAAACATTTTCGGTACGAATCCGATTATAAGATACTACTTTGTTTAGTCCATCGAATATTAAAATTTATAAAATGGTTATTTGACTATAGGATGTTGTTTTATTAAATCTCTCGATTATTAAAAGTTACAAATTGGTCATTTGACTATTCATATATTTCAAACTCATCAATTTTCGTTAAAAAATGGACGACTCAAGATCCGATTACTATTTTATCTAATATGTAATAATTAATGATCTAATTTAGTACTTAAATTTTTTTATTTTTTAAATTATACCTAAAATTTAATTTTTATTTCATTTTAGTACTTAAGGTAAGAAAAACTCAATTGTCACTTCTTATTTGTGGGAGGTTTTGAGGTTATAAGGGTTTAGCTTTTCAATCATCAACCGAATCTTTCTCGATCTTCAGTCTTTCTCATTTATCACAATCAATTCGTAAACCTTAATAACATGCATTTCTGCATGCTTAATGATTTAATTGTTAAGGAAAGCTTTATATATATATATATATATTTAAACAATGATTTTTGTTGGTTGGTAGTTTGGTTGTGCCACTATGAACTGATGCCATCTGCAATCATGTCTGCACTATGCATGTAGGCCAAAACAAAGATGCAATTCAATAATGTATGATTGCATTTTCTTTATTCAACGTAATTAGAATTGAAATATATTATTTTGAAAATGTAATCTAGCAGGTTAGATTAGGTCCAGGGTCAACACCAAGCTGGTTACAATAATCGGTATAGTACTCGATCCGTCGTTGAACGGTGGTCGGGTTTCCACCGTCACACTCCATACCGTTAATGGCACGAATAGTTGCCCCGAACCCTTGGTTTGCGACCGGTTGAACAAAGTTCACCCAGAACCACACTGCGGTCTTGAAGGAGATAACTGGGTCCGTGGCGACGGTTTCAGGCGAGTTTAGTCCATCGAACCCGATGTTCTCACCGGCTGGTCCGTAGTTGAAATTCCAGGATAGTTGAATTGGTCCTCGGCCGTAGTATCCTTTGTTAGGGTTGCATGGATATTGTGTGTTGGTTTCATCGCAGTAGTCCCTTGTGGCACCGTTTATCTCTTCTATGTAGCAAAAATCTGCATTATAAAAGAAAGGTTTTTTGCTGGTTAATTATCAGGAGAAGTTGATGAAACACCATTTATATATTTGTTACCGGCTAGGTTTAACTCGACTCGACTCGATACAATGCATGCAAAACTTAGTTTCCGAATTAAACGACTAAACATTTACGAGTAACAATTAACAAAAGTGAGTGATCTTACGTCCGGTCTCGTGGGTGACATGGCCAAAGAAAGCCGCAATCTCACGCCGAGAATCATCGGCGGATCCGATTCTTCCGAACCGAGGATAAGGTCCGAGAGCTTCGAGAAATGCCGATCTCGAATAAAAATTCTTCCCTTCACAATTAACTTCCGCAACATCCAAAATCCGATTAAAGAATTCCGGCGTAACGATATCGGCCACCGAAACATTGTTCAAAGCTGGCGGTGGATTACAAGGACCCTCTTGGCACCCGGTGCCACAATAATCATCGCCGGTGCCGCAAAACCCCCACCGGCTACAACATAAACCTTGTTCGCAACCGCAGTTCTGAGCATTCACCGCGGTTGCTCCGACGGCAATAATCACTGCCAGAAGAATGGTTATTAAATGTTTCCTCATACTGGAGGGGGGAGAACGAGAGTTTTTTTTTTTTTTTTGGAACTGAAGAATGTGTTTGATGGGAGAAGAATGGAGGGGATGAGTTGAGAAGATATAGAGTGAAAATTGGTGGGGTGCACTGTGCAGCGTTTGGTCTGCTGCCAATTGGTCTGACTTTGACTTTGCGCGGGTACGCTTCTCGTTAATGTGAACCTCACTTGTAAATAACAGCTATGACTTGGTCCAACAACACGATGTCAACTCGAGTCCCTTATAAATATAAATTTTAATATTATAAATAAATTAAATTTTACAATATTCAGTTTAAATTAATTAATTATATATTATAGGGTCGTGACTCACAATGACAACAATAATATAAATAATATTCACAATCATAAAAATGATTAAATATTTATTATCGATAATTAAAATTATTTAAAATAAATATTATTTTATAATTATGATAACATTTTCTTTTTGTTGAAAAGTCTTTCCACTAATTATTTCGAGAAGATTGAAATAAGACGACATCCTGACGGCGGCTTATTTTATGTGGTCATAATTATTTGCGATTTTCATTGGAATTTATCTCACAATGTTCAGTCGCTCTTGTTGCAATCGTAGGTATTCGATATTGAGATCTCTAAAAATATCAATTATTATTTTAATCACAGAGATGATTTGATTCGTGTTATTTTTTAAAATTTTAAATTTATCATAATTCGATCATTACTTATAAAAAACTATCACGGATAATGCATGAAAAATATATAATGATGTTGATTTCATGGCATACATCACCATTTTATTTACGAGGATTAAGTAGTAGGAACCGAAAGTAAAATTCTAGCACCTAAGGTTACGTCCAGGATCAACACCGAGCTAGTTACAATACTTTATATAGTACCCAACCCGAGCCTCCACTATAGGTGGGTCCATAATCGTAATAAACGTAATATAATTAGATACATGCATGTCTCGATCGTAAATTTAGGTTTATAACAGAAAGAGAGGAGTCATACGTCCGGTTTCATGCGTGACATGAGCGAAGAAAGCCGCAACATTGCGCTAATATCATCAGCCGTACCAAATTGTGGATAAGCGTTGACAGCTTCAAGGAATGAAACCCTCGTATAAAAGTTCATCCCTTCACAACTTGCATCTGATTGATCAGTTATGCCATTAAAAAACGAATCTGTCACGATATCAACTACTGATTGAGCCTTTACCGACTTCGATCCTGTAACACCCATAGCACACATACATCTCAAAATACGAGCTAAAGAAATCACATCAACTTAGGAAACAATTGATGAACATAAATGCTTAAAATTTTGTTTTCATTTAGCATGCAATTAGGCAATTTTGTATTGTTTCATAGCTATATACAACTGCCTAAACACTGCTTGATTTAAAACCATTTAAAACTTAACATGTATAATATTCATTCATAAATATGATTATAACTAAAATTAGCCAAAATTAAAATAGTCCCAAATTACTATTACAGGCTATTTTAAAATAAATATGATAAAACAACCTAAGATATGTAATGTACATGCCACTACTAAGTCAAAGATAGGATGTTTTTCTGATACTGTTGGTAGGTTTGATTTCTAGAAGATGCTCGCAAGCTCCTCACTTGACGCCCTTTTCGTTATGTGAACCTACACATTAAAATCATCATGCACTAAGTAAAACTTAGTGAGACAAATAAATAAATCATGATGAGCAATATCAATAGAATATTATAAATAATTCATAACATAAAAAAATAAATGTAAATAAAATCTTTAAAATTTTCAAATCAGACTTTCCAAGTCGTTTGTCCTCATCAGAAACCTAAAAATCACGATCTCATAATTTTATCAAAATCACAATAATTAACATCAGAAATAGTATACTTTGCATAAACTTTCCATTCAGACACTTTTAAGAACTTTTATATTTCAAATTTATATTTTTTCCTTTCAATCACTATTAGAATTTTCCTTATTCATTTTCATAGCACACTGTATATTTATGAGAATGCAAGGTTTGTTAGTCAAACGAGTGTACGCGCGCAAGCACTACACTGTACCATCACATAATCAGAACATATAAGCACACATAGTGCTATCACATCATAATTGTAATATGCACACAAAGTACAATCACATCAGAATCAGAATATGCACACAAGGTGCAATCACATCGAAAATATACTAGTATACCTTAAGGTAACGCCACAGTATATCACTTCAGAATTGTAATATGCACACATAGTGCAATCACATCGGAATCAAAATATGCACACAAAGTGCAATCACATCAAAATCAAAATATACACGTTAAGTGCAATTCACATCGAAAATATACTAGTGTACCTTCAGGTAACACCATAATACATCACAATCACCCTCCTCATGGCATGCCAATTGTACCTACGACTATCAATGCAACATACAATAGGCTTTCAGATCATATCTTATTCATTTCATAATCAATATTTCAAATTTAGAATCATTTTACTTCATCATCGTCAAAATAGAATATGGGCAATTCATACCCTAAATCATCCATAAAACTTATACAAACATTATGTAAATAATGCATATTTAAAATAGAAAACATACTTTAAAATAATTACGAGGTTGACTTATCACAAGTCGTCCTCAATAAGATTAATTAAATAAATAAATTGTACTCACTTTGATACTTTATTTATAAATCAAAATATTAGCCTCACTAAGTTTTAGGTTAATCCTTTACTTTCGATTGCTTCGACTACAAAAATTATCATAGTTTAATACTCTGGCAGTTTGAATAAAATTAAAAGAAGTATTATTCTGGATTAATCTACATACTTAAAAATTATTTTGTTTGTACCACTAGAAACTAGACTCGAATGAGAATCTAACCATATAAGGAACTTCTTTTAGTTCAACTTGTACAATTTATAGTGAATTTTCAAATCTGACTTGCAGAAACTGATTTGAGCAGAAATTGCTAACCAATTTTCTGACATATCTTTAATTAAGAATTCATATATTTATGTATACACCTCAGAATCAGTAGCCGTTTGTTTTAAACAAAACTAGACTGATACACAAATCCAACGGTATAAAATTTATCTTCTAATCATTTCTACATAATTTATGGTGAATTTCTAAACTTATTGTTCAAATCATAATTTTCTAGACAACTTTCCTTAATTAACATCCTTGTATTAGTTTTATAATTCTTTAAGCTTAATAAATGAACCTATAGACTAAAATCAAAATTCACATCACATTAAGAATCATTTTTTAATGTAGTAACTCTAACACTGGCTTATTGCAAGCTAATGTTTGTTCGATAACTTAAATACAAATTAAAGCACTCACTCACCTTTGTCTCACTATCAAACATTCTCCACGATAATTTTCTCTGCCTCACACTTTTTCCTACCATTTCAAGTTACGTGGATCACTAAATTTACCGTGATACGAAGACATCATATAATAACATAGAATATTCAAACTATATATGTTAGCATCGAACTAACATAATCTAAGTGTAAATATAAAATTCGATAAAAATAAAATAGATACTTAAATCAATATAAAGACAAATTGTACTTCCATCGATATTTCAAACTTCTCAAATTATTCATTCAATTCCGTAAATATTTATTTCCACTATCAACCCTTCAACTTTTGTCAATTCACAATCGAACCACTAATTATGAATTCTTTCTATAATTCACCTTAACTTTTCCATTAAATTCATAATGATCCTTCACCATTATGATCTTTGCACTTTAATTTCTAAAATTTCCAGTACTTTAATAAAATTCTCAAATCAACACTTTAACATTCAAAAACTTGAAATTTCATCCCAAAGTTTCTTAGGCTTTTCGAATTTAACCACCCATCTTTATAAACTTGTAATTCAGTCCCAACTCAATAAATAAACTTAAAAATCAGCATGTCCATAAAATTTCCAGCATTATAATATTTTACCCAAATGATACTTTCACATTTAATAAACTTGAAATCAAGCCCGTATAATATTGAAACCTTTCGAATTCTACTCTTAAACTTTACCAAACTTGCAGTTTAGTTCCAATCAACTTTTAACTTAAAATTTCATCATTTCTAATATTAAGATTCAACATTAACACTCCAACTATCACATTTATGCAATAAAGTCCCACAATTGTCAAAACTTGTATATTAGCCTTTTTTACCAACTCAAGCTTCCAAATTGATCTCCAAGTCTCATAGAATACTTCTAGGTATCATTTCTAGGCCATAGGAAAATTTTCCATAATTTTCCCCTAATTTCTTCATATGGCCGAATATTTCAAGTAGCTTTAGGCATGATTTCTATTCAATTTCAAGCATGAATTCAACTTTATATGGTCGAATGCTTTATATAATCCTACACAATTTTAAACATCACACATGATTGAAATTTAATCTCCGACATCAATAACATAGAAATCTTTCATCAATCTTCAAAATCATAAACCCTAATTTTCACTCTCATGAAATAGGCATGTTCATCATATAATATTTATACCAAATGATAGAGAATTTCATGTAGATTAGTTCTCTATCTAGTAGCTTAATCCAAAAAACCAATCATGTAGGCTTAAAAATGAACTTGAAAAATTTCTTTACCTTACCAGGGAGACTCACGGCCAAAGCTTGATGGAGAGCAAAAATTGTCATGAATTTTCTAGCAAATTTCATGAACATTTGACATTTAATTAACTTAATTGAATTTTTAATTCATTTAGTGGGAAATTCCAAAATTACCATTAATGAATCTTGATAATTACCAAATGCCATTGCATTATCTCCCATTAAAATATTCCATACTCAAAGATGAACCAATTTGACTTTGACTTTCTACTTTGGTTATGCAATTTTCAAAAATTGTATTTTAGTCACTAAAATTTCCAATGTTAGACCAAATCTGAAAAATTGCCCTGTTCTTAGCTAAATTTCTCTGATCTAAAATAGGGAAATAATATTTCCAACTATTATCTAGCATCCTTCAAATTTTCGTAAAATTATGATTCGATCAAATTATCCGATTTCTATACTGAACTTTAACGCTTTATAACTTTTAACATAATTCTCGTACCGAAAATCTGATTACCACGAAAATTCTTGTTTTAGGCCAATCTGTTCATTTACGACTCAAAATATATAACTTTTTAAAATTATATATTTGGACCTTGAACTTTTACAAAGTTTAAACTTTATCCATCATACTTTTAAAACTTACATTTTAGTCATTAATCAAAAATTGGGGTATTACAGATCCGATAAGAATTCCGACAATGAAAACGGTTAGCAGAGCCGTCATCATGTTGGGAAATAACATTTATGTAAAGATCGAAGTAGGTTTTGATGTGGAGAAAATGGTGGATAGTTGACGGTTATTTACAGCTCAACAAAGCGTGTAGAGAAGTGTTGCTTTTTGGAATCAACAATGTTGACATGTAGGGTTTCTAGAAGGAGTAATAAAATAAAATGAAAGAATTGCAAGTTTAGACTTTTCGCCTTTGGGTCCTAATAATATAAAGTTGTTGTGAGATAATTCCACCTCATTAACACCATTTCTTAATCACATAATATTTAAATTTAGCGTTGTTTATAGTATTAAAATCAAATTAGATAAACTAGTCCTCCTAATTTGTCTAAATTCGATTTTCACTGTTGACGTGACAACCTATGGTAATTGATAACGTCGCGGATAACATGACAGATGCGCAGTCGTTAGTATTCGAACTTGAGACATCTAGAAATATCAATTATTCTTTTAACCACTGAGATAATTTGATTCGTGTTATTTTTTTAAAATTCTAAATTTATCATAATTCTATCATTACATATAAAAACTATCACGGATAATACATCAAATATATATAATGATGTTGATTTCATGGCATACATCATCATTTTATTTATGAGGATTAAGTAGTAGGAACCGAGAGTAAAATTCTAGCACCTAAGGTTAGGTCCAGGATCAACACCGAGCTGGTTACAATAGTCTATATAGTACCCAACCCGAGCCTCCACTGCAGGTGGGTTCCCTCCGTTACACTCGATAGCCCCGTTAATGGCTCGAATCGTCGCCCCGAACCCCTGCCCTATGACCGGTTGAACGTTGTTCACCCAAAACCATACGGCCGTCTTGAAGGCGATAACAGGATCACTGGCCACAATTTCAGGCGAGTTTAGTCCGTCGAACCCGATGCTCTGCCCCGCTGGTATGTAGTTGAAGTTCCATGTTAGTTGGAGTGGACCGCGGCCGTAGTAGCTTTTTTCGGGATTGCACGGAAACTGGGCTGGATCACAATACTGAGAGGTGGGCAAGCTCGGACCATCTATCTCATTTATAAAACAGAGATCTATACAAAACCCAAGTAAACAACATTCGTTAAATCCATAATCGTAATAAACGTAATATAACTAGATACATGTATGTCTCGGTCGTAAATTTAGGTTTATAAGAGAAAGAGAGGGATCATACGTCCGGTTTCATGCGTGACATGAGCGAAGAAAGCCGCAACCTCACGCCTAGTATCGTCAGCCGTACCAAATTGTGGATATGAGTCGACAGCTTCAAGGAATGCAGCCCTCGTATAGAAGTTCCTCCCTTCACAACTTGCATCTGATTGATCAATTATGCCATTAAAAAATGAATCTGTAACGATATCAGCTACTGATTGAGCATTTACCGACACCGATCCGATGAGAATTCGGGCCATGAAAATGGTTAGCAGAGCCTTCATCATATTGGGAAATAACATTTATGTAAAGATCGAAGTAGTTTTTGATGTGGAGAAAATGGTTGATAGTTGACGGTTATTTATAGCTCAACAAAGCGTGTAGAGAAGTGTTGCTTTTTGGAATCAACAATGTTGACATGTAGGGTTTCTAGGAGTAATAAATTAAAATGAAAGAATTGCAAGTTTAGACTTTTCGCCTTTGGGTCCTAATAATCTAAAGTTGTCGTGAGATAATTCCACCTCATTAACACCATTTCTTAATCACATAATACTTAAATTTAGTGTTGTTTATAGTTTTATAATCAAATTAGATAAACCAGTCCTCCTAATTTGTCTAAATTCGATTTACACTATTGACGTGACAACCTACGGTAATTGATATTGTCGCGAATAACATGACAGATGTATTAAATTTGTAAGTCAAACAAGACAGATGCATGGACGGAACATCGTGGGGGCCAAAGAAAGCCTTGGTCCCTGCCAATTATTTTTTAAAATGTTAATATATATATTAAAAATAAATAAAAAATTTACCAAGCTCGTCTTAATTAAAAATATATATTTATAGAAAATAAAAATATTTTTACCCGTTACAATAAATGAAAAATTTACCAAGCTCGCCTCATTTAAAAAAATATATTTATAGAAAATAAAAATATTTTAACCCAACTACAATAAATTCCTAGTTCTGTCCCGGACAGATAAACTACCATGTTAGTACCGTAAACAGCCACATCAGCACCGTAATAGTCAAACGATGAAAAAATGTTGGTCAAAATATTACATTGAGTTTGTTTATGAGTTGGTGGGTCACATTGAAAGAAAAATAATACAAATGTCATATTGTTTTTTCACCTTTCAAAAGTACATGAACCTCTAATTTTTTTTGTCAAATAATATTATCTCAGACCAATTAAATTTCAAATTATATAATAATATGATTTACCGATAAATTTAATTATCATTATTTATATATTTTATTGATTTAATCTTTATTTTTAAATTAAATTCAGTTATTATTTTTAAAAAAAGTTAAACACCTTTTCTTATATAAATATTAATTAAAATATTATTTTTAACGATATTAATGTGACAATTCACGTTTAATTCATTTTAGTATGATACTATTTAAACATTCAAATTATTTTCTGTTATTTAATGATCAATTAAGTCGAATTTTGAAAATTTTCATGACCTCTTAAGGTTAAAACTTATTTTTTTGAGATAATTAAGGTTAAAACTTAACATGAGGCTAAAATGTCAAGAATTAATTATGTTTTGTTGTCTTAATGCTTACATCAGTGTCATGATTTTGCATCCACTAATTTTAAATATAATATAATTATACGATTATAAATTTTATATCATATAAAATATTAATATTTTAAAATTCATATACAAATTTATAATATCAAAAAAGATACGTGTGTATTATCAATAAATAAATAAAATATTTTCTTTATATATTAATAAGTTCAAATTTGAGAAATACGAAATTAAAAAAAAGACAAGATTCATAATTTTATAAAAAAAATTAATATAAATTTAATACTTTAAAAATATATTTATGAAATTTAAGAGTAAAATTTTGGAGTTTAATTTTTCAAAACGGAATTGGGGAGAGTTAATTAATTAAGATCAATTAATAATTGCCTAATTTATATTTAACAAATGCGGGAGAGTTAATTAAGATAAATTAGGAATTGCCTAATTTATATTTGACAAACGTAAGGCAATTATTAGTATGTTTAATTTACTTCTTAGAGAATTTATTTTGTGGCGATGACTTATGTTTGAGTGGTCACAGTAAATGGGTGTTAAATCGATAAAATTTAGTTAATGGGTGTCTGATAGGTAATTATTGATTTTTTTTAAAACACGGAAGATGGGTTGCGGTTTTAGGATGTTAAGAAAATAAAAGGGTAAACTATATATTTAGTCATCCAATTATCAATTTGGTTCCATTTTGGTCACCTGACTATTTTCATTGCAAAATTATCATTAACGTTACGTTTTGGTTTTATTTTGGTCAACCATCATTAAAAAAACTAACGGTGATTCTGATATGTCATCATTGAAACAATAGAAAATATCACATCAACAGTTTTATTAATTTCTTAATGAAAGATAACCAAAATAAAACAAAAAACTTAAAGTTAGTGATGATTTAAAAAAAATAAAAATTAGATGATCAAAACGGAACTAAAGTGATAGTTGAGTAACTAAATACGTAATTTATCAAAAAATTGAGCTCATAAACATTTTTTTTGGGATCAAGGAGTTCGTAAACATTTTCAAGAGACAAATTGCATAGGAGATATCCAAATTATGGGCCTTTTCTAAATTAATCCCAACACTTTAAAACGATCTACATCACTCCTCAAACTATAACTCATATCTTAAATTGGTTCATGAACTTTAAAACATTACATATCAATCTTCAAATACCAATATACTTCCATTTTAAACTTTGATCTAATACCTACCATCAATCACATAAATCTGAAAAATAAACAAATTTTTGCAAAATTCATTTATTAAATTAAATTAACAAGATTATACATTTACACTTTATTAATTTATTAATATTATTATATATCTTGATCTTTTTACATGCAATACTTTTCAATTAAAAATAATAAAAAGTTAATTAATTGTGAAACTATTTTAATTATTATTAAATTAGACTATAATTATTGCATCTATTATAGTCTCGTATAAGAATATTGTATTCTTGAAGCGTATGGTATTGATATTCTCCAATTAGAAAGTTCCTCAATAATCTTAAACGAAAAATAAATAAATAAATAAAAGTATTTTAAAATATTGATTTCATTTCGTTTGATACATATATTAATTTATTTTGTTTATGAGAAAAAAGCAGCCGAAACAAGAAACTGGAAGTAAAATGCTAGCATGAAAGATTAGGTCCAGGATCAACACCGAGCTGGGTACAGTATTGTGTGTAGTAGTTAATCAGAGCCTGAACTGTAGCCGGATTCCCTCCGTTGCAGTCGATATCCCCGTTAACGGCTCGAATCGTTGGCCCGAACCCTCGGCATGTCACCGGTTGAACAAAGTTCACCCAATACCATAAGGCTGTCTTGAACGAGATAATAGGGTCCATGGCCACGGTTTCAGGCGAGTTTAGTCCGTCGAACCCGATGCTCTCCCCAGCTGGTATGTAGTTGTTGTTCCAGGATAGTTGGATCGGACCGCGACCGTAGTAGCTTTTCTTGGGGTTGCAAGGATAGATGGTCGGATCGCAACACTGACTGTTGGGGAAGTTTGGACCTCCTATCTCTTCTATGTAGCAAAAATCTGTACAAAACAAAAATATTCGTTACACCTGCAATCGTAATAGGCACAATATTACTCGATACATGTATGTCTCGATCGTAATTTTAAGTTCATAAGAAGAAGAGAGGGATCATACGTCCAGTTTTATGGATGAAGAGGAGAGTTAATATCAATTAAGATAAAAGTGATATTTCTTGTCAATACATTATAATTTTAATCAACTTGAAATTGTCAATATTGAAATCGCACGAACTAAACAATTTTGGTGATAAATGAATTGTTGCTATTCATTGAGATTTTGGGTTCGAGCACCAAGAATGTCAGGAGTATGAGCGTTTAATGTCAATGATTAAGAGTTATTTTTAAACAAATACTACCTTATACTTATTTCAGATTATAAAAAAAATCGAAGATTTATCAATTATAACTACACTCAAATACGAGTATTATCGAAGATGATCTTAAATATATCTTCAATGAATTTTTATTTAATTAAGTGTGTTAGATAAATTATTGTTTTTATTTTATTGAAAATTTAACTTTTAATTGGGTTTACCATTATTTTAAAATTTTATTTGATTTAATTGGTCGAGTGGTAAAAAACATTCATGTTATTTAAGATAGTTTTGAACCCGATATTTACCTAGAAAATATTATATCTCTCTGCTTAATTAAAAATTTTACTTGATATAATACTTTGAAAATGTTAAATAGGATTGAACCATTTGGACAAAAAATGTTTTAGGACTAAAGTGAAAAACGGTATACTTTAGGGATCAAATCAACTATTAATCCATTATGAAAATACGATAGAATTGTATCAAATACGGTCTAATTGTGATGCTGGAGAAGTAATTTTATTCTATTGAGAAATTGGACATGATTTATTTATTTTATTACTAGCATGAAAGATTAGGTCCAGGATCAACGCCAAGCTGGTTACAATACTGTGTACAGTAGTTAATTCGAGCCTGAACCGTTGCCGGATTCCCACCGTCGCACTCGATAGCCCCAATAATGGCTCGAGTCGTCGCCCCAAACCCTTTCCCTATGACCGGTTGAACAAAGTTCACCCAATACCATAAGGCCGTCTTGAAGGAGACAAGAGGGTCATTTGCCACCGTTTCGGGCGAGTTTAGTCCGTCGAACCCGATGCTAACTCCGGCTGGTCCATAGTTAAAGTTCCAGGATAGTTGGATCGGACCGCGGCCGTAGTAGCTTCTGTTCGGGTTGCATGGATATTGGGTGTTGTTCGGATCACAATACTGACTGTTGGGGAAGCTCGGACCAGCTCTCTCTTCTATGGAGCAAAAATCTGTACAGAACAACATCATCTGTTACATCCTTAATAAACACAATTTGACTTTAAACATGCATTTCTCTATAGGGATTTAGGTTTATAAGGGGAAGAGAGAGATCATACGTCCGGTTTCATGAGTGACCTGAGCGAAGAAAGCCGCAACCTCACGCCTAGTATCGTCGGCCGTACAGAATCAAGGAAACGAACCGAGAGCCTCAAGAAATACAGCCCTCGAGTAAAAGTTCCTCCCTTCACAACCTGGATCTGATTGACCAATTATGCCATTAAAGAATTCATCCGTCACGATATCGGCCACCGTCTGAGCCTTAACCGACACCGATCCGACAAGAAGCCCGACCACGACCACGACCACGACCACGGTTAGCAAACCCTTCAACATAAGGGGAAATGACATTTTTGTGATATCAAACGTTGATTGAACTCTGGGGAAAAAGGTGGATAGTTGACAGCTATTTATAGCTAAACAAAAGTGTAATTGAAATTGTCAATGATGGCATGCAGGGCACAAATTCAACCGAGGGAAATGGGTAAAGCTTATACTTTTCGAATTTGTTAAAGCTTATTTCTAGATCGTATATGATTCAACCCTTTGAATTTGTGACGTCGTAAAATACTACTCAATAGGCTGAAATCTAAATCCCTAATTATGAGAAATTGATACTTTTCAAACATTATCCACATAAAAAAATAAATAAAATATTATAAGAAATAACAATTTTATTAAAGTAATGGATAAAGTACATAAAAGATAATTCGATTATGAAGTATTGGTTTACTGAGTCTAACTATTAAAAGTTATACAATAATCCATTAATTATAGGGCGTTGTTTTTTTTAAATAGGGATAGCAATTTAACCGAAATTTGATGGGTTCTGATCAAACCCAACCCGATAGGGTCGGATTTTTTAAGGAGTGAGGTCGGATCGAGTTTGGGTGGAAGGTGAAAAAATGTCGACCTGACCTGACTCGAATGTAATTTCCTTAAAAATTATTATTTTTTAACTAAGTCTCTATTTTATACCAAGTCGGGCCGAGTAGGATTTATACTGTAAAAATTCGTGTCGGGTCGAAGTCTGGTGGAGAATATATTTTTTTGAATTGAGTCGGGTCGGAAGGAGGATATAAAATTTTCGGGTCGGATCGGGTCGAGTGGAGGATATATATTTTCAGGTCGAGTTGGGTTGACCAAAAACCCGGCTCTAACCCGACCAGTTGCCATCCCTATTTTTAAATCCTCTTACTATTAAAGTTACAAAATGATTAACCAACTATTCATTGTGTTTCAATCTCGTCCTTTCTTGTTAAAAATTTATGGTAATTTGAGTTGGACGTTATTCTACTGACTGAGATATGATAGTTGTATAGAATTTTGGGTTCATATTATATCATATCTCAGTCAGCAAGTAAGTGTCCAACTCAAACTGTCATCAATTTTTTTAACGACAAAGGACGAATTTAAAACATAATGAATAACCGAATGATATTTTATAATTTTTAATCGTGGATGAAACCTTATACAAGATCAGATAAAAACTTTTATTATTTTTGTTTAAATACAGAAAATAAAACCTAGACTTCTAAAACAGATCATAGACAAGCAAAATATATATGTAAAATGAAGGTTATTACTGATCAAATCACTTTTTTATGTCACTCAGATTGACAAGGGATATGTGATAACTAAAATGTGAAAAAAGGGTAAATGACATAAGTAGTCATTTATGTTTGAATTCTCTTTTCTTCCATGAAGTTTGAAATCTAATGATTTGATCACTAACATTATTAACTTATAATAAATCAGATGTTAACGACCATAACTATATGTGATTAAAAGTTGATGTGACGTATTAATCATTGACCAACTTACTTGTAGCATAAACTACAACTTGCTGGTTTGGAGGATAAAAAAATCCCATAGTCACTACGGTAATGATTTTTAACGCCGAATTATTAATTTGTTATAATCAATAATATTAGTGATTAAATTAATTTTAAAATATCATTGAAAAAACTTATGAGGGACCATTTATGTAATTTAAAATTAATTTATGGCTTTGTTGCATGAAAACAAATGTACATTCGATGAGACCTCAATCCTTTATTATTAATGACAATATAACATTGTAACAATACATGACCATAACAACAACGATGCTAAAATAATACCAAGTATTTTAAACAAGTAATTAACTAGTATTAAACCACGCATATTATTTACCTATAAAGCCCCACTATTTCCAATTTCTCCCTTATTAACCCACACAAACATTGGAAAATAAGAAAATAATCATATAAATTATTTCCAATTTCCCCCCTATTTTGTCAGCACCACAGGCATACTCCCTGGCATTTGCATCCATCACAGCAAGGCTTTGTTTGAAACAGGAAAAAGTCATAGTGAATGATGCAGTCCAATGATCCGTGTTTGCGGGCAAGTCCGGCGTCGAAAACGTCGGCCAAACTGTTCTTCGTTCTGATCGAGGTCGACACTCCGACGGGCTTGCGAGCGGCGGTTGCCGTTTGAGACACGGTGGCCGCGAGAACCACCGCCATCGTAGCCACCACACAAGCGAGCTTCTTCAAGGGCTCCATTTCTGATCAGTGTTGTGTTGTGTTCTGAGTATATATTGTTGGGGGACGTTGTACTAATGCAGGTCTTCTATATAGATGTTATTGGCTTAAATGAAAATAATACATGAACAGGTGAATTGCGTGACGAATTACGTGACTAGGTTTGTATGACAGGTGGATCGCATGACTGGTGAATTGTGCTTCACTGCTTTGTTAACGTTAACGAATGTTGTCGGAGGATGAATCGGGATTGGTTTAAGTGGTAAACAACGCAATATCGTTTAAGTAAATCTAGGGTTTGAGTGGTCGGCTCAAAAGTATAATATCTTAAGATTTGTATTTAACTTTTATTTTGAAAGTATGATGTATTTTACCACTACGTCCTAAAATATAATTAAATCAGTCAATTTAGGAGGAATATTGACTTAATTATAATGATTCAAAAATAATAGGGACCTAAAACTAATTAAGTCATCAAAGTTGTTGCCCCTCCCACCTCCTACGTAACTTCGTCCCCGCTCATGTTTGTCTTAAATCTCATGTTATTTTTTTTAATAATGGTAACTGGATTTCATTAATAAAAACAATGGAAATAATTAAATTACAATACACTTAAATAGAAAATTAACGACAAAAATTAAACTTAAAGATATAAAGAAAAATAAAATCTCCATTAAGAATGACGTCCAACATAAAAAAAAATCTAGCAACCTTTATAGAGCTCATTGTCTCTGTCGAACAAGATGTTTTACGAAGTGATAAAAAAGTGATAAGTGAACCAAACAATTTGACAAATTACTTCGCTACATCATTCTGATTATATCGGCAAAACAACATTTTATCAAAGAAAGGATATGAACGTGGCTACCGACAAACCAATCAAAAAACAAATGTCGTGAAAATCTTTGTACGAGCACTAACATGATTGCAGAGGTATGCGAAAAATACTATTAGATTAAAAAGTTTGGAAGGGACAAGAGCACTTAATAAATGTCGTGAAAATCTTTGTACGAGCACCAACATGATTGCAGAGGTATGCGAAAAATACTATTAGATTAAAAAGTTTGGAAGGGACAAGAGCACTTTTTTTTAATAGGGCGTCTCGTATGTTATTAACGTGACATATTTAAGTGAAAATACAATAATAAAGTGGAAATAATTTTTTTTATGTTCAATGAAAATAAAATAAAATAAATATTTTCTGTATTAATTCATTATTTAACTGTAAATCCATTGTTCCATGAGACCCCATTCCTCCTTTATTAAACTTAAACCACGCGTGTTTGAGAATAAGAAAACATCACATAATTATTTCAAACTCCATTATTTTTCCCTCAGCACATGAGGCACATCCCGAAACATGTGCAATTACCACAGCATTTCTGACCCTGAAACAGGCAAAACTCGTAACGGCCGAGGCATTTCTTAGCGGGTGCGCCGTTAACGTCGACGTCGGGAATGTCGGCCAAAGTGTTATTCGAGTCGATGCTCGCTCCGACGACGATACTCATCGCCTCGTTGTGAGCGGCGGTTGCAGTCGGATGCACGGCGGTGGCCGCTAGAACCACCGCGATTGTAGCCAGCACAAGAGCAAGCTCCTTCGAGGGCTTCATTTCTCGGTGTGTGTGAATTGATGTACAAATGGAGGTCCTTTATATAGAAATGCCGAAATTTTGTACCGAAAAGAGAATGAAAAACATGTAGAAACGGGAGGATTGCATGACGAGTTACGTGACTTGCATGCATGGCAGAGGGAATGGAAATCGTATATCTCTTCTTTCATAGGTTGAGCATCTAGCTTCAAGTATATGAGATCAGTTGACAATAAGATTAGGGATAATCATAGGTCGGGTGATCCAGGTCGGATTTTTGGCTCACTCGAATTCGATTCGAAAATTAAACCTCTTCATTTGCGCTTGATTCAATCCGAGTTTAGGAGGATTCTATTTGATCTAAAACTCGATCCAAATTTTGAGGTAAAACTCACACCATCACCTAATTCGATCTGACTTATAATATGTTTCATTTTTATTGGATAAAATAAATACCTAATTGTAAAAAAAATATAGGTAGAGATATTATTATAATTATCCACAAACCCTAAATATATTGATTTTCAAAAAAAAATAACTCGATCAAGTAAACTAGATTAAGAGGTTCACACCCATAATGAAGCTCTGCAATATACAATATGAATCAATTGTTCAATATATCATATAAATATGGTTAAATAAAATAAAATAGACAAACTACAATGGTGGTCACTAAACATTAATTTAAGGTGTTTTTTCTTTGGTCACCAAACTTTTAAAACTTGCATTACAATCACTAAATTTTAATTCACTTTCATTATGGTTATTGTCGCTAGTTGTCACTAAAAATGATTATGTGACACATTAAATTCTTCTTCCCCCACAAATTTGTAGTCGATACTAAGGTCAAATTTTCGTGAATAGAGTGCTTGTTGGTCAATTCCAATGGTGGAAAGGATTCATTTGATCTGAAGATTAACATAGTTTGGTTTCAAGTTAATGTGATAATTGATAATGACGTCAAAAAATTTTGACTTTTAGCTTCAATTAGGATTTACTTGGGATTTAAAGATACTGGAAGTTCTTTTACGATTTTGAACCAAAGAAAAAAAATACGAACATGAAGTAGTTTGGTGATCTTTTTGATAGGAGAAATCATCAAACAATGGTACAAACTTCGACTATAGGAGACAACGGTCCAATCAAAACTAAACTTAAAATCAAATCATGTTGGAGTATTTCCATCGGTGGGATTGATCGACAACTATTTCGTTCGTCAAAAACTCAACTTTTGCAATGACTGTCAATTTAAAAAGAGAAAATAATTTCAGTGACCGAAAATGTCTTATAATATACGATTTTAACCAACTTTTTTTGGATTTGCCAAAATGACCAACAAAATCGCAACGTGAACTACAATTTCGCAACTCAGTTTCCAAAATCGCAGCGTGAATAGTAAAAATTGTAACGCGAAATTAGAAAATCGCAAAATCGCGTTACGAATTTCAAATGGTAACTCTCTGCTTCTAGACTGGGATTTTAAGTGGAAAATAAAATTTATCTACATGTGTATAGGAATCAGTTTTTTCTTAATATAATTCAAAATTTAATTTTTTAAATGTATTTCATTAGTTTGAGTTAATGATTCTTTCAAATTTCAAACTTTAATTAATTGAATTTAGAATAATTTGTAATGAAGAATGACAAATGAAATAGATTTGTTGTTCATTTACATATAAAATTTTTCACGTGTACGAATATTTTTTATAAAAATTATTTATGTACTTTTCCAACAAATTATTATAGATGGATAATAAGAGATAATTTACATATAGATTCGTTGCGATTTTACTATTCATGTTGTGATTTTACTATTCACGTTGTGATTTTACTATTCATGTTGCTATTTTACTATTCACGTTGCGATTTTACTATTCACGTTGTGATTTTACTATTCACATTGCGAATTTGACTATCGCGTTGCGAATTTGACTTTTGTGTTGCGAATTTGACTTCTGTGTTGTGAATTTGACTTCTGTGTTGCGATTTACATATTCGCGTTGCGAAATTGGAAACTGGGTTGCGAAATTGGAGTTTGCGTTGCGAAATTGTTGGTCATTTTGGCAAATCCAAAAAAATTTGGTTAAAATCGTATATTATAAGGCATTTTCGGTCACTGAGGTTATTTTCTCATTTAGAAAATTAGAGATTTTGGAGAAGAAGACTCAACATCAACATTTTCTTACAGTAGTGGTCGTAAAATGAAATTATTTTGATTCAACTCTTAACGTCAATAATTACTTTTATTTCGCTTCTTTATCTCGGATATCACTAAAAGAAATGATTTTCATCGATTTTTTATAGTTCTTTATACAATTTCGATTTTCGAATTAAATCATATCATTTCATATCGAACACTGCTTAAAATTCAAACAATATCATCATTTTCCATGATCTTAATACATACTTGCCATTGTTTCAAGAGACCCCACCTTTATTAAACAATACATATTTGAAAAAGAAGAAGAAATATGATATAGTAATTATTTTGAGCTCCATTATTTTTCTCATCCTTTCAAGCAGAACCCTATACATTTGTAAGGTTTACAGCAGGGAAGGTGTTGAAACAGGCAAAGGTCATTATGGGGGATGCAAGTCATAGTCGGCGGTGGACTGACGTGGGCGTCGAAAATGTCGGCCAAACTGTTCGAGTTCGGGAGAGAGACGGCCCCGGTGCGAGCGGCGGTCGCCGGCGTTGGATGCACGGCGGCCGCCAGGACCACCGCAATCGTGGCCAACACGAGAGCGAGCTTCCTCAGGGACTCCATGTCTTGTGCTGTGAGTACGAGTTGATGGAGATGTTGTGCGAATGGAGGTTCTTTATATAGAGACGGAAATGAGAATAATGTGTAAACTTGGTGGATTGCATGATGAATTACGTGACCTGCATGGCAGAGCGAATTGAAATTTTGATACACGTACACGGTTTCTTTCTCTTTTTCGTTATCTTTTTAGACATCTAATTTGTAAGGGTAAACTACATATCTAGTCACTCGACTTTTTGTACAGATTCGTTTTGGTCACTAAATTATTATTTTTTTCCTTCAAAAACATACATAGTGATGTCAATTTAATCCGAAATTAATAAGTTCCGACGCGGCTCGATCCGATAGGATTGGATCTTTTTAAAAAAAAAATTATGGTTCAGGACGGGTCGGGTTAGGGTGGAGAGTAAAAAACTCCAACTCGACCTAGGGATAATAGTGTAATTTCCTTAAAAAAATATTATTATTTTAGTTAAGTCTTTATTTTATACCGGATCGGATTTATACTCTAAAAATTTGAGTCGGGTCAGAGTCGAGTGAAGGGAATATATATTTTTCTGGTCGGGTCAGGTTGACCAAAAATCCGACCCAACCCAACACGTTGTCATCCTTAATCATCCCTAACGTTACATTTTAATTTTATTTTGGCCACCCGCCCTTTAAAAACTAATGGTATTGTTGATGTATAAATCGTAAGGTAATGTCACATCATTATTGAAAAAATAAAAAAATATCAACAGCAATTGTGTTAATTTTTTAACAGTAAATGACTAAAATAAAATAAAATTGAAAGATTAATGTCAAATTAAAATTTTCACATAATTAAATAGCCATGAGTATAGTTTACCAGAAAACCAATTTAATTCCTCTAAAAAAAATCAATTGAACTCCTAAACTTTTTTTTTTAAATAATTCTATTTGTCACATATTATATACATGTGGACTGTGGTATCAATATTGGATCATCATAAATTCAGGAATTGAGTTGATTTTTTCAAAAGTTCAGGTGCCTTGTAATCAATTAACCCTAAAACAAATTACTTGCTTAAAAAATTAAGAAAATTAATTGAACGTTCCCCTTCAAAAGTTAATATTCCTCCACAATAACACGAATTAAATTACCTATTAATTAAAGGAATTGTTATTATTATTAAAGTCTCATATTTAAGTATCATAGATTACGGGATATTTGAATGTTTATTACAAAATCTTTGAAAATCTTTAGAATATATACTATTGCTTGTAAGCACTTTATATTGATAAAAATGATAAATTTTGCGTTTAGTACTTAAACTATCAGTTTATTTGTTTTAATACTTAATTTTTTTTCAAAACAATGCCTAAAGTTTAGTTTTTGTTTCATTTTAGTACTCCATTCAAATTTTAAAAGTGTAGGTACTAAAATTGATAGTTCAGATATTAAACACGTTAAATTTTTAATGGTAGGTTACTAACATGAAATAAAAATTAAAGATTAAATATAGTTTTAAAAGAACTAAAAATTTAGATAATTTATATACACTTTACCTTGCAGTAAAAAACAAAAGAAGGAAAGTAGTAGGCAATGAAGTGCGGTTGGTACAAGGATGAGTGGGTCCTTGGCCTGGCTGGCACATTGTCCGACTTCTCTAAAACCCATGTTCTTTCACAACTGGCTCATCTGGTCTGGTCTGGTCAACTTCCAGGAAGAGATTCAAAAATCTCAACAGGAACAACCCCAACCCCAGTTTTCAGACACAAGTCACAACATAATCTCAGAACTAGGCAAGCTTCTGTCTTTCCAGGTATTCTTATTCTTCCTTGTCTGAATCTGAAACTCTGTTGAATTTACTTCAAACGAGCTACAATGCCATATCTTTATTATTGCTTGGAACTTGGATCTTCACAGATTTTACCCCCAACATCTTTCTCTTTGTTTTCAGTATCTTTTTCATGTGTATTTGTTATGGTCAGGACGAACACATGATTTTGTACTAGGGACCGAATTTAAAAAGTTATAGTATTAGAAATTTATGGATTGCAAAATTAGATAATCAGTAAAAATACTTGAAATTTATATGAGAATTTGAAATTTTTAGGGTCGACCGCACCCTCCGGCACTCACTCGGTCCATCCTTGGCTATGGTGTTTGATAAAGTTATTAGCTGATAGGAAAGGTTGACTCTGGTAGGGTTGATTCAATGTAGAAGCTATGGTGTGAAATTAGAAAAAGGGGTAATTTATTTCTCATTTTAGTGGTTTTAACCAGAGTGGCCATAAATGTTGGGAAGTACTGCAAAATTTAGCTCTTGAAAGAAACAAAGAGTAATGTTCTAATTCTAACCACCGGAATCGGAGTGCCGAAACTCGGTTAGATGGTGTCTTTTATGTGCTTGATGTAATGCTAATGAGATCCACTTCTGTGATCTCAAATGCTTGGTGTAATCTTGGTCCTATGTGTTGTCTTCTCCATCGAGCTGTATCGAGTGTTTGTAGCGCCCAATCCCGCATTGAGAAATTCGAGACTCAAATTGTGACTTTCGAGTCAAAGCAGACGATACTTTGCAAGTCGGGTAAAAGTATGCATTCTCAATGTCTATATAACTGTAAACAAGAGTAATCAACTTTAGGTGTGGAACTGACCTGTTGAACTTTATAGTTTATAGATACTTGCCAGAATTACAAGGATAATACAAGTTGGAAGTGAGCAAAAAATGGAAAGAAATAATTAGTTTCCGAGAACGAGACTTTCGAGCCAAGATCACAATCTGAGTTTTGCACTTACTATACCTTGGATATGTAGGGTAGTAATGTCTCAATCGGTAGGTTAATAATGTTTTAGATAGTATTGATGCAGTGATATGCAATTGCAACTACCTAGTTGTGTGGTCATATATATATATATATGTGTGTGTGTGTGTGTGTGTAATATTTGTTATTGCTCCATGAGAAAAATGGTTTCGGTTTAATGATGAATTCATCGCAAAGACATTGGCAGGATGGAAACGCTGGCAGTGCAAGCAGCAGGACTAGTGGCTGGTTCACTGGTTGCACCAGCGGTCGAAGGTGGGAAGGGTATATTCAACTGCTTGCAGCGCAAATACGCCTACGTGAAGAATATACGAGAGAATATTTCCAAGCTTGAGAAGGAGAATAAATATCTGTGTAAGGAAGATGAAGATGTTAGAAGGATGCTGGACTGGAACAAATTAATGAAAGAAAAGACAAACAGATGTGATACCTGGCTCAACGAGGTCGAAAACGTGAAACAGGATATTGAAAAACTCAAGGTTGATTACGGCAATATCAGTTCGTATTTTTGTGGACTATGTCCATTTCCGAGTTTGCTAAAGCTTGGCAAGAGTATCGTGAAGAAGACGGCAGAGGTAGTTGAGCTGAGGAATCAATTAGATCAAATAAATATAATGCATGAGAAGCCACAGGCACCTCCGGTTCCTGTTATAGAGAAGCATGCACGGAAAAAAAGTGATGTGCCATCATTTGATTCGCGTGTAGAAACACTGGTGGAGTGGCTTGAGGATGAGAACTTGAAAAGAATCCTCATATGGGGCCCTCCGGGTGTCGGGAAGACCACGATAATGGAGATTCTGCATGACAGGGTCGGTAAATCTGGTAAATTTGACATTATCTTTTGGGTGAATGTATCAGCAATAGGAGACATACATGATGTAATATGGAAGCGTTTAGATATGAGGGTAGACAGAAACTACAGTGCCGATGAAAGAGCAAACATGATATCCAAAGAGCTAAAGGACAAGAGATATGTATTGTTTCTTGATCTCGATAACGTCTTCTCGGAGATTGATCTCAGAGAAGTTGGTATTCATGATGAACATGATCATGGAAAAGTGGTGTTTTCATGCAGATACAAAAACAACAATATATGTGGCGACACGGATGAAGAGATGAATGTGCAGAGATTATCAGATGAGGATGCCGAAATTTTTTTCTGGAAAATAGTTGGTTCTCATCTCAAGAGTAATCCCGATATCAAGCAAGTTGCAAAGCTCATCATCAACGAATGCGGTGGCATTCCACACATAATTAAGTTAATCGGCAATCGATTGGCAAAAAACGAGGACCCTGCAATATGGCGGGATATGTTGTCCCAATTAAGGTCGCCGACAATGGAACCACTAGAACAACTGGAAGAATTTTACAAGGCTTTTAAACTTGTCTATGAAAAACTATCGGAAGAGATGAAGCCTTGTTTGCTGTATTGGGCGGTTTTTCCGACGGGTTATGAAATTTTTCGAGACCATATAATCGATTGTTGGAGAGCCGAGCAGTTCTTACCAAGCCAAAGGAATCTTTCATGGACACGAGACAGGGGGCATACAATAGTAGATGAATTTGTGAGGAAGTCGTTACTCGAAAAGGGAAGAAAGTGGGGGCACTTCAAGATGTTCGAGTGTTTTCAACGGGTGGCATTAAGGATAGCAAATCGAGAAGAGAACTTCAACTTTTTCGTCGCCGATGACGAAAACATTATAGACGAAGATTGGAAACGTGCAAGGAGAATGTCACTTATTCAGGTTCGCCTATCGACTCTACCTAAGAGACCCCAATGTTGTGGGATCTTGACATTGTTACTGCAGGAGAGTAGCTTGGCTGAATTTCCGAGGGAATTCTTCGGCTACATGTGCGGTCTTCAAGTTCTGAACTTGCATGAGATGCAAATAACTGCACTTCCATCATCGATCTGCAGCTTAATAAATCTAAAAGGGCTGTTGATAATCAATTGTAGTCGGTTAGTACAGCTTCCTTCTCAGATCGGGGATCTTGAGCATCTTGAAATCCTTGATATACATAACACCAGTCTCTACAGTATGCCTGTAGAGATCGGACAATTGTCGAATTTAAAATGTTTGAGGGTTTCATTCGCCAACGATGCTGGAAACCAGAACCATGTCGAAGAACCAAAGCCGATGATTCCTTCCAACGTGATTGCAAGGCTTTCTAATTTAGAAGAATTGAGCATTGCTGTGAGCCATTGTAGCAGTAGATATCAAAACGCAGCCGAAATCGCCAGTGAAATTTCGAATTTGGAAAATTTAACCTCACTCTGTTTCTTCTTCCCCGAGATGGAGTTTTTCAATGCTTTCATTCGGAATAGCAAATCATGGACGGCCAATAGCTTCAGATCATTCAAGATCGTTGTCGGTTACCAGAGAAACAGTTCTGCGTCTGAATTTAGAGTCTTTGAATGTTCAGCAGAAAAGCACCTTCGGTTTTCGGCAGGAGACGAGTTTCCAGATGCTATTTCACAGGTCCTAAAGCAAGCCAAAGCGTTCGAACTGATCGATCACCAAACTGCTACTAGTTTATCAGCTTTCCGTGCTGATAACTTACAAGGCGTGGAAGCATGTATCGTCGAGGAGTGTAAAGAGATGGAGAACATCATAGACAGCACAGGTGTTGAATTCGAATGCTTGAAAAGCCTACAAATATGCAATCTACCAAAACTGAAAGGTATCTGGCAGCGCCCGGTAGAATCTAAAAGCCTTTGTAGTCTCACAACGCTCTCGTTAAAAGGATGCAACAACATAGAAGTGCTTTTCTCACCGGGGATGATCATACGGCTCTCTCAGTTAGAAAACCTGCAGGTGGAGGACTGCTGCATCTTGAAAGAGATTATTGAAGACGGACGTGTAGACGAATCCCACACCTTTCCCAAGTTGAAGAATTTGCAGCTCTGCGACTTGCCGGAATTATGCACCATTTCTCATGCCGCTTTGGAATGGCCTTCGTTGGAGACGGTATTTATCAATCCGCACATGAAGCTTAGAAATTTACCAAATACAATTCGAAAGGCGTCGAAACTGATAACAATTCAATGCTCGGAAGATTGGTGGAACCAACAGGACTGGCCAAATAACACTAATAGAGATGATTTTAGAAAGTTCCTCAGTTTCATATGACGAGAGAAGAGCCTCAACCAGTCCTTCCACAGCTAAAGGCATTTACAAGAGACGACATAAGCCCGGGCCTGACCATATGCCAGCTCTTATGTGATACTGAGATCGAGTGGGAATCGGTCATAGTAACGTGTTCCGTCCTTGAACTTCCTCTTCAAAGGTTTTTCGCATATATGGAGATTCGCTCGGCCTTCAAGCAATGAGGTAACTCTCTTCTATCACATAATCACTTTCTTCCCATCGCAAGATTCGAATGCGAGGCTTTCAAGTTGAAATCTTCAAGTTTGAGCTATTCTGTTGAATGTACTTAGAATCGGACTACCCCTTTCAATGTGCTTAGACTTGGCCGGTTACAATGTTGCGGTTTCTCGAGTTCAAGACTCCATAACTGAAGGAACTGTGTTGGCATTCCGGTGCAGCATCGTCTTCAACGTCATTATTTTTCTTAGTATTTGTACACAATTCATATTTGGATATGAATATTGAAATGTTGTCATAAACCCTAAATTAACAAAATCTCAAAATCCTAAATTCCCTAAATTATCAAAAAGTCAAATCCCTAAAATTCCAACTATTATCACCGCCGAATCAACTACCACCGCCCACCTCTCCTGTCGTCGGACTCCACTAATGATTATCCCACTTTTCCGTCATTGCAAATCAATGAACGAGGCACCACGAAATCAACTATAAACGACTTTTGTCGATGCAAATTGATGAACAATAACCACTCTTACGTCGATGGACAACACATGATGATGATGGAAAGCATCCAATGCCTTGAAGCATTTGAGCCACTTCAATTGTTTCTTCAGCCCTCTGGCCTGCAACAGAAAGGAAAATTGTAACTTTACAAATAAACCCAACATGCATGATCTTTGAAGCACAAAATCTTTCAACAATCAAAGAAAATAATTCGACCCCGAACAAATCCAATGCAGAGTCCACACCTTCAGAAACTTATATCAGGGACTTGCCCTTGCATGATTGTCGTCTACAAACCTTTTTCGTCTGTGTGGAGATTGACCAGGCCCTCATCTAAATCATATCATTGATTATACTCATCCCATTGCAAGATTCGAACTCGAGACTTTCAAGTCTTAACCGTTTGGTGTTGGTTGTGCTTAGAATAGGACCACACCCTTCTTTCTGCAGATGAACGTTTTCACTACAGTTCTATTTCAGGAAAAGGATATTAACTAAATCACAACATGGACACGGCGTGGCAATCCAAGACAGCTAGCATTGTATAGTTTAGCTGTGTATCTGTATTCAAACATTTTGATCTAAAATGTTCTCAGATATGTATATCGATCATGATATTCGAGAAACAAAAGCAAAATTAAACCCCAACTCCAAAAACATGAAGACATTCTGATATGAACATTGACTAATTACACATTGAATCAAAGTAGCTCAACCTGTACATGAAAAGAATGTTGATTTAGAAACATGAAATTAGGTTGTAAGATTGTTGATGAGGGGTTCAGAAAAATCAGTGACAAGGGAAAAGAATATTTTCAGCAAAACTTAAACATGGCGTGAAGATATATAAATTCATAAACATCTCAGTATCTCATCCAGTGTGCGATTG